TCTATATAGCTTCGCCACGATTGCTGAATTTTGAAAACTCTTTTCTTGATCGTGATGGGTGAGAGAGGAAACTTACAAGAAATGAAAAAAACGTGTTGAAGAAGGGAAAACAAAGACTTTGCGATAATGTTTTTTTCTGGAAGAACGTGACTTTTTGCAACACGTACGTGTTCACCAATGAATCAAGGCAAGTCACATATATAATGGGAAAAATCTACTATATAAAGAAATGGCTATAAATGCTTGTAGCTATTTTGGTCAGAGAAAGAAGATGTATATTCTTCATGGTTAAAGTAAAAAATTTACAAATTAAGATTTAGAAAAAAAAGTATTGAATCGATTCAATATACTATTATTTTATATATGTTGGTTATTATTAGTGATTCTCACAAGTCACAAGTATAACTTAAAAGTAGAGGTTGACTTTTCCTATACAACAAACCTAATAGATATTGTACTGAATGAACCAAAAGTCTTTCTAATAAATAAGGTTGATTATATGAAACACAAATATAAAATAACCTGCGTTAGTGTAACCATTAATTACGAAAAAATAGTAAGCTTTAAAGCTAGCAAGTTGCTAAAGAAACTCAACTTAGACAAGCTAAAGAAAGTTCAAGCAGGTCATTACAAAAGCCAATTTAAATACTTCAACGTGACCAATAACTCCAGGTTCTGGCCAGCTTTCCAGAAGCAAAGCAGGGAGTCCCTAAATCAAAAAGAAAAAAACAGAAGCATGTGAGAAAGATTTAACAATCAAAACAAAAGTCATTGTAATAAAAAAACAAAGTGGTTCATAGAGATAAGAACCTAGAGGGAGTTCCGGCTGATCAAACGGTGTGCAGAAGATCTTCGCCGCTCCATAGGTGCGGTCCTTGATTTCCTTCGCCACATCAGCTTCGTCGCACCACGGAGCTAAGACAAGCTTCCTGTTATTCAGTGCAAACTCAAAATCTTCCCATGTGTGAACCTCTTTAACACATTCATCCCTCTTCTTCCTAGCAAAACGCAGCATGTCATCATGCATCGAATCAAGTAAAAGCCTAGCTCCGCGAGCTAGGTCGCTCTTAGGGAAAACTTTCTTCTTCTTGTCATTGCGCCTCACAACGCCCACCTGTCAAATACAGAACAATACAAAACTGCTAGTTAGTGTGTCCTTTCAAAATGCTTGTTCAAAACTTAATAAAGAAAAACATTTTACCGGGTCCAATTCCGCACCATTGACCAGAACTATGAGTGGAACTCCTTTCCGCATCCAGTGCGCTATCTTGCCAGAGACAGGAATGTCCCCAAGCTGATCCACTTCAGTACGGATATCAACCGCTTGCAAAGCCAAGGCAGCAGCAGCACAGGCCTCGTATAGTCTTTTGGGATCCACTTCAGAATGGATATCAGCGAATTCTAAACCCGCGTCAGCAGCAGCAAGGGCCTGTGATAGTCTTTTGAGATCAACTTCAGAATGGATACCAGCAGCTTCTAATGATCTCAAAAGACTATGAGCCGCCTCTAATAGTCTTTTGAGACCTCCTTCAGAACGGTTATTAGTCGCTTCCAAAGCTGAGGTAACAGCAGCACATGCCTCTGAATGGGTGCGAGTCACAGGAATCACGACGGCTTGAATGAGAGCAACTTTAGGAGGGAGCACTAAGCCTTTGTCATCTCCATGTATCATTATCATCAAACCAATCTGACAAGGGAAACAAAAACCAAAGGAAAACAATCACTTGTAAGAATCAAACCAATCCGAGGAGGAAAAAAACATAAACAGAGGAAATGGATGGTAAACATAAACTCCTCGTCTTCGCTCTTCCGGCCTTTTAAAACCGGGATGGCCAGAAAGTCTCATAGATTTTGCGGTAAATGTCTAAGACGTGGAGGACCTCGGCGTAGGCCTCTTCCCTCGTGGCAAAGGCGCTGTGGCCTTGTTGCGATAGAAACTCACGAGTCCTGCAGAAAGATCAAGACGGAAAATGGTAAAAATATGAAACCAAGGAAATAAAGTTCGAACACAATGTAGGAATGAATTTAAGCAAGAGTCATATATACCTGAGAAATGGGATGGGGTTGGTGAGCTCGGACGTAGTAGTAACAGCATTGTACCATTGGTTGAACTTGAGAGGCAAGACTTTTGCGAAGCGGACTTTCTGACAGAAGTAAGGGTACATGGATTTCCTCAGAATGTCCTTGTCGGACGAGCCATCGCCTACTATGAGAGGGAACTGGCATTTCTCCACTTTCATACGTTTCATCTCACGGTCAAAGTAATGCTACAAAGACACAGTGAAAACAAGAAACCAATATGTATCACATGATGAGTAGAAAGTATTTCAGAAGACCCAATAAGAGATTTGATCACTAAAATCTATATATAAAGCAACAAGAAAAGTGAGCTAACACAAAGTGAACATCACTGACCTAATCTAAAGATGGAAACAGCAACCAAAAAAAAAAAAGCAGAGAGAGTTTTGAAAGGAACCTTAATAAAGTCCCAAATTTGCATCGTAGTGTCCAATAGAATGTCGTAGCCATGGATGGGATAGTAGCCAACCATTCCTCCATAGTAGGAGGCATCTATATACCATTCATCTAAGAATCTCTCTTTCTCGTCGAACGGAACAAGATTTATCACACTTTTATTCTTCATCATCGCTACTTCTAGATTTCTTCCAACCCTAATCGTCTACTTTCCTCTTGCAAAACCCTAATTCTCTCCCCTCTATGCCTTCTACTTTACTCTACTCTACTCATATTTATTAAGGCTTGATTCCTTTTTTGTTGTCTTTTTTTGTTTTTTAACATCCTTTTTGTTTTATTTAGTGACTATATAATGACCGAGAAAACAAAATTTATGTTTTTATTGTTATTAATAAGACATTCTTCTAATTTTTGTCCAATGAATTCAAGAATGCTATTTTTTCCTCTATTTTAGAGAAAATATGAATAAACAAAAAAAAAAATCTATTTCTCCAAATATAGAGAAACAAAATAGCAATCTCAATTTTAAAGATGGGAATAGAGGTGAATTAGAGGAAAAATAGAAGAATGCTACTTTTTTTTGGGGTGAATTGC